GAAACATTACAGGACTTCAAAAGAAGATAATAGTCAAACCAGAATGGGCGTCGTAGTGAATCTCATTGCCTACAAAGTAGTTGCCTATACCCTCAAACTTGATACTATCAAACAGAACAGAACAGAGTAAAATCAAGATGTCAAAACAAGATGGTGGGAGCAATACAGGGCTTCAAATTAAGTTAATAGGAAATCAAAAAAGTTACTATAATATATCCTGCTACCAAACTCACATGTATGAATACCAAATAGTTTCCCTATTGTAAGAAATGATTCAAATATATAAAAGTATATGGTAATCATGATGCTGCATTATGTGGCTTTGAAGCCTTATGTTTTCACTCATTAATTGGAATGGCTTTATTTGGGCTGTTTGATATTATTGCCTGTGATGATATGAACAGCTATTTTGAAGAAAACAAGACATCATAATAGCTAGTGCTGATTTAATATCATCTTGTTTTGAAGTCCCACCAAATGGTTGTTCTTATGTCTCCATTGGTTTTATCATGTTATATCTTACTGGATTTTAATGTATGTGATAGTATAAACAAAAATTTTTATAGGCAAAGAGATAATATAGAAACCATTCTTTGTTTTTTGTTAGTTGGTTCCAAATACCTTGTAACACTTTCATCCTCTTGAATGGTTTCACACTGCCTTGATATGTTTGAAGCCATAGTATATGAACTTATATTCAAATATCTCAAAAGAGACACTATGGTAACTACTAAATCAGGTTATCTTGTGGTGAAGCACTAGGTTGCTGAAATTGTTATGCTTTGACCTGTATTGTTATGTTGTTATGTCCTCTTTTATTTCAATCTCCCCCTTTTTAAAAAATATTTACTTATTTTATTATTATTACTTTTTAATTAAGTTCTTGCATTTGGCAAGGTCACGAATTTGCAAGCTTGCACTTAGATATTGCTCAATAGTTATTTACATACAATATACTGGAATAAATAAAAACAATGACCTGATGCATTTTATCCTATCTGTAATTCTCTTTATTATAATAATAGCAAAGAATTCTTCATGTATTGCCTGTATCAAAGAAATTATTTAACAGACATTTGCTATCAAGCTTTAGCAAGATTTAATTATGCCCCCTCTTCTTTTCTTCTAGTAATATCTCCTACTATATCTCTGCTACTAATATAGTCTAACATTATTTATGTATTCCATCTTGGCAAATATGTCCTTGTTAAAATTTACTTTCACACCCAAGTCAGTCCTCTGGAAAGATTTTTTATCTCAAAGACACACACAGTAGGACATTGAATTGCCTGGTGCATTCTTTTCTTGATGAAGTCAAGTGAGCTAACAATGTGGTTTTTTTTTTTTTTTTCTTTTTTTACAGCTGTTGTACTGTTAAGAAACATCTTTTTCAGGGTCTACTTAGTGTTTTCTAAACAATTTTTGTGTATTCTCTTGGTGTTTTTTTTTTTTGTTTAAAATCTAGCCCTTTCACTGATCCCAATGTCCAACTATAGTGCTAAAGTTCATTTTGTGGTTCTCATCCTGAGAAGGCTATGAAGCTTCTTATGGAACATTACATTAGTTTCACTCAAGAATGAGTTATAATTCTCATGACTCCAATGGGAATGAATTAGAGAGTTTTTAAATATAAAGAAATAAGTTATGAAGTTATATATTGATTGATGAAAATGTGATCAGGTGCTTAAAAGAATCTAATCCTCTTTTTTCCTAGAAGTGATACTTCTTTATTTGCAAATAATGTTTTTACAGTGCTATAGATAACCATTATATATAAAGTAGCTAAATCATTCCTGCGATCAACAATTAGGAACTGCAATGTAATGTAAAGATGATGAGGTCCAGTTTGGATTGCATGTCCTTTAGCTACTTTCCAAGCCTTCGAATGATAGTACTTCCTAAGACAAGATTCCAAGAATAAGCTTTGATCATGTTTTATGTAATAAGTCATAATTTTGTCTCCTCCCACTTCACTGATTTTAACTGTCATACTTGGTATGAGCAGTGGGACATCATTTGCAGACATGGGTGAATATGCAGTTTTTGCCTGTGAAAGTGTTTGTTGTCAAGGTTCTCATCCCAGCTCAATTTGGCTTTCATTGAGCAGCAGCCAATCATTACAGGGAAAGAGCATGCTGTTCCTAGCATCAAGTATCTCCACTATTGCCCCACACCATGATATCAGCTTTGCCCAGCCAATATAGAAAGGAACATCAAAGAAAAGAGGATTATTAGAAATGTTAGGAATCCTGTTCACTTTGGCAGCACTTATACTAAAAGTATTAGGAATCTTACTCATGGTGGGGGGATCAATTCACAGTATATTTATAGCATAATGAGTTAATACAGATCTACAGTAAAGCTAAATCTAATTCTCATTGAATATTCCCATTCTAAAATTTCTCCAACATCATGCTATCAATAGAAAAGAAAATTCAAAGGAAAAGGGAAACATCTTAAAGCTCTGCTCAACTCCCATTCCTGCTCTATCCCTTTTGTAGTTTATTGTGAGAATAGGGTTTTATTTTAATTATGGAAAGATACAAAAGAAGCATTTGAGATCTGCTGAGCAGAGACATATACAGCAACAAAAAAGAACTGTGACATTATTATTATTATTATCATTATTATTTTGTTGTGACACTGGGACTCAATCTTACAACACCCCACTTGCCAAGCAGGCACTGTGCCTCTGAGCTACATCCCAGCCAAAGACTATGACTTTAAAGAAAAGATCAGTAGGTTGAATAAGGCTAAATCTTAGCTCTGTAGAGGGAAAACTGCTGGCTTTGTGTTTACAAGTAGACCAAACCAAAATCTGATAACTTATTATTTCAACGTACCATAAGTTTGGAAATAAATTAGAGTTATTTTCTCTATTGTGGTCTTCTTTCTCAGTGTACTCATTGAAAAAAACGTTATAGCAAGTTAAGAACTACAAATCAGAAGCAAATTTATATTTCCCCTACTCTACTCCATCTGAAGGAATCTAGGTGTTTTAGATTCACACATAGAGAAGATCTAGGGATCTCCTTAAGAAATATTTGAGAAGACCAGCATTCATATGTCACACCCAGCTATGTCTCAGTGATTGTTTGGTGGCCTGTTTTACCCAAAATAATAATGCTCTGAAACTTTTTCTGAAGATAAGCATGTGCCTGGCAACCAGGGACAGTGTAGTAGGTGATTACTGAATGGGATGAATAGATTCTTTTCGCTCATTGACATGATCATGTGTTTTGAAAACCAAGTGCACATTTGGAAGTTTGCTTTGTCCACACAAATTTTCTGAGTGACAAAGAATCAACAGATGTGAACACATTTCTCATCTCTTTGTCAGCTATATTAGTATGTTGAACATTTAAAATTTGTAGTTCAGTGTTAGATTTTATAGAATTCTATCCTAAAATAGATACCAGGAAAATTGTTCTTGCTTCTATAGTACTAAGGTGAGAGTAATCTTGTACCTAAATTATTGAAGTGAAACATAAAGAGTGATTGTAAAACTCAGTACTGCAAAGAATGGGAAAGTTGGGGCTGGGGATTTAGCTCTGTGGCATAAGCGCCTGCCTTGCAAGCAGGCGGTCATGAGTTATGGTACCAATAAAAAAAAAGGAAAAATTTTGAAACTTAAGTGCAAAGGTAGAACGCTAGTAGAACTTCACCAAATAGGTAGCCAGTTATGTTTAACTGAAGATACTGCTGCAACAGAACAAATAACAGACTTTTAGGGAGTTAAGTTTGACAATAATATATTTGGACCATGTGCATGCATCAGAGTCTTTTTAATTGAATACTGAAAAATAAAAGCATCCGTATATCCTAATAATAATAATAATAATAATAATAAAACAAGATATCTCGTTTAAAATCTTCACTAGAATCACAGAGCTTCAGAGAAAAATAATTTTTACTGAAGAATAGCATACTCACCATTTGTTTCCTTAGTCTATCTATTGAAACTTTCCGCATAGTCTTTCCATGACACTACTATGTCAAATCTAGTATGTAAGAACAAAAACACACTGTTTTTTGCATTATTCACAGTAGTCCTGTTTGAGATTTTGTCACCTTGTCTTTGAGAAACTGACCTTTAAAAAGAAGTAGAATTCTTCAAAGATATTAATAATGTATCTTGATTCTTTACTTTCAAACAACTATTTCATGTATTATTTTCAACCATTGGTATGAAAGAGCGGGGTATAACATTCCACTTTATCTACATGAATAATCACTCCAAATGTATGCTTTTCCATCAGAACCGTTATTTAACAAATGTTAATTGAGCATTGCATATGGCATGATATGCGCTAAAATATGTGGAGGATGCAAAGGTAACATATACTTCTTAATAACATTCCATTGGGAAAGGAGTCATATTTAGAGTTCACATACTTTACACTATAGAGTGAGAAACAACCTAAAAGATACACAGTAGATTTTGTGAAAGATGGATTTCAGAGCGAATCATGAGCTCCATTCAGTGGCTGTATTAGTAGAAGGAACAATTTCTACCTACGTTAACGTAGGATGTTGTGGCAGGAGGTTGGAGGAGGCCTGTTCAGGATATACAGAAACAACTCACCCAATTTGCTTAAAGTATAGGTCAAGTGATGTAAGAGGTTGTAAGGATAGAAAACATAGAAATCAAAATACCATGGCATGGGAACATCAAATAGAGTAGTTTGATCTTTATTTTGTAGGCAGTGTGGTGTCACCAAAAATTGTAAGAAAGAAAGTCATGTTTAGGACAATTATAATCATGTTTAGGATAGGAAAGACTAAATAAAGGTAAGACTGAAGGGAAGAAGAAGGGTTTGAAGGCCCCTGTGGTTACCAGAGAGGAGATAATAAACTACCATATAGGAGATTGCATATTTTTATTTCTCTATAATATCAGCACCTAGATTTCCTGGGTTTCATCATGAATATATAGACACATTAAAATTAAGCCTTTTTTCCAAAGTACCATCAATAATTCTTCTCTTTTTTAATTTCAGATTTTTCATTATTCATATACAGCTTCATATGTGATTTACAACATACATACTAGGTAAGTGCTTTGATTTTTTTCTGATTTTCATAAGCAATTGTCAAGATAAATTTTGGTATAGATGTCAATTTTGCTTATGTAAAAATATTCAAATTTTTTCAAGGGAAGTTTGGGAGTTAAATCCTCCAGAAGTAGAGGACTCCGTTTTGCAGTATGCAGCCTGGGGTGTCCAAGGGCAGCAGCTGGTAAGCACAAGCATTGGTATGCACCCGATACTGCCAAAGCTGTATGAAAAATGTTCATCAACATCACTTCCTTGTAAACAATAACCTTATATTTGATGTTTCCCTAAGTTCCTTTATGCCTTTTGCGTAGTATTCTAACATAAGGATGTATCAGACGACACTAGTATTATTTTCTCAATAATTAATAAACCTGAGTTTGTGAAATCCTACATGATTAAAATACTAGCTAATAATAAACTCTAGAAGAGATTCTAGGATACTAAGGTCTAGATGATTTCTATTACCTAATATGCAAATTTTCATTGCCAATTTTTACTGAAAACTCAAAAAAGATATTATTCTCAAATTATGCAAAACAAAAGTTTGCAGACAGCATTAAAGTGATTTTTCATCAATGATATTTTAAGTATCACAAATTCATAGAAAATTATTGATGTAAAAAGAAGTTAAAATAATATTCTTCTATACATCCTATGGCACTGACATAAACCTTTGATCATGGAAATACTGTTCAGGAAATAGTTTGTTAATGAGGCCTTTATGTAATCAAATGCATTAAGCACAATCAAAAGGACTTCGCAGTGGTTTGCCAAGTAAGTCCAATGAAAGTTCCTTTTGCTCCCAATTGCCTTGCTAACATCTGGACTTTCAAGACTTTTAAATTATCACCCATATGCTGATAATCATACAAAGTAGTATTTAGTTGTGGTTTTATTAACATTTCTTCTTTCTTCAAGCTGGAACTTTTAGTTATTGTGTTCCTCATATGAGAAAAAAACCTATTAATATATTTGTGAATATTCATTTTTCTCCTTTTTATTTTAAAGACAAGGAAAAGAAAAATAGAAATAAACTAAAAATACATTTTCAAGTTAATAAGAAAGTAATAATAATTAACACATTACATATTGTTTTCATCATAGTAGTTACTCTGAGAACAAAATGTAGGCATGAAATATTGGCCAAAGACTATTAGCACAAATCTTTTTATTCAATGAATTAAGAGAAACTAGCTGTATTTTAACTGTCTTGTGTGTGTATATATAAATTTTTCCTTTTACTCTCCCTTTCCCTTTTCTCCCAATGCTTTCTAATTTCTTTTGAACAGTTTCTTCCAAATTCTCAATACCTATTGTACATTTTGGGTCTTATTTACTTGTTCAGTTTCTCACATTAGTGAGACAATATTATGTTTACATATATGGGTCTGATTTATTTCACTTATATGTATGGTCTCAAGTTGTATGCATCCACCATAAAAGTGAAGTTTATCTTTTGTATGGCTGAGTACTCCATTTAAAAAAAAAAAAAAAACTATTTGAATATCTCTTCCTCAGGTGATGGGCATTTGTGTTGTTTCCAAGATTTAGCTATTACAAATTGTGATAATATAAACATAAATACAAAAAAACTACTGTGGTATGGTGTTTTCAATTTATCTGGGAAAATACCCAGAAGGGAAGTAGCTGGGACAAATGGGATCTCTAATCCTAGTTTTATGGGAATCTCCACACTGATTGACACAGTGGTTGCACCAGTCTGCATTCACACGAACAGTGAAAAACGGTTCCTTTTTCCTCACACCCCCACTATCATTTGGTGCTTGATGGTAACCAAAGAGGATATCAGAAAATGGATAGATATTGTGGTTTGTTTAAATGTTTCACTAAGGCTTCATCTGTTCATGAGCGACTGGCCTTTTGAGGGCGCTGCGTCTTGCATTTGAGCTTGATTTGTTGTCTAGAGCTGTGACTGGCACTGTGACCCTCCAAGGGGCACGTAGCCAGCATATACTGTAAGGCAGAGAAGGAGGCATGCTTTTCCCTTTTTGCCCTTTCACTTTTGTTGTTTGGTGCTGCCATGAATGTCTGCCTTTTAGTTATGCCGCCCTACCATGGAGCCAGCTAAGTATGGCTGAAATCTTCAAAAACCATAAGCTAAATATACTTTTCTTTCCTTTATTTTGGGTATCAAATATTTGATCTCAGAAACTAGAGAAAAGTAACCAAGACAGAAATTCCCCTTGTAAGGGTAGGAAAAACCAACATAATGAAAATGGCTCCCTCCCCAAACTGTTACACAGATTTAATGCAATCTCAATCAAAATACCATTAGTATTCCTCACAGAATTAGAGAAAACATTGCTAAAACTCTTTAAGAACCAGAAGAGATCTATGATAGCAAAAGCAGTTCTGGGCCACAAAGGCTAGTTGGGGGCATCACAATCCCTGAGCTGAAATTATACTACAAAGCTACTCTGATAAAATCAGTATCCTATCGCAAGAAACAGACCTGAGAATCAGTGGAACATCATAGAAGCCACAGATGGAGCTCCAAACACAGCCATCCACCTTATCTTTGAGCCAAACATGTTCACTGGAAGAAAGACAATCTCTTTAAAATACATTATGCTGGAAAAATTAGCTTTGCACATGCCAAAGACTGAAACTAGACCTATCACCATGCACTAAACTAACATCAAAATGGATCAAAGACCTAAATAATAAAACAGAAACATTGAATCCACTTGAAGTGAAAAATAGGTAGAAATCTTTTAGACATAAGAATACGCAGTACTTCATAAACAAAATCCAGACTGCACGGAAAATACTTCAAAGAATCAACAAATGGGATCTTACCTTATTAAAAAGCTTTTGTAAAACAAAAGAAATCACAAGCAAAGTGAAAAGACAATCCACAGAATAGGAAAAAAAATATAGCCAGTTGTTTCCTTGGCAAAGGACTAATATCAAGAACATACAAAGAATTAAAGAAAGCAGACCCCCAAATTCAAAGACTCAATCCAAAAATGGGCATCTAAGATGAATACATACTTTCCTCTCTCTCTTTTAATTAGAGTTTATATGCTCTGGAATCTCATTTATAACTACGTCTATTTTCATTCAGTTTTTTACTTTACCTTTTAATGTTTTGTTTGTTTTTATTTGTACAAATATTTATCACACATGTGAATGTATTTCTTATATTAAATCCTTGTAATGCCATTGTAATTTAGTTTCAATAATATTCTTCTAAAATTTTTCAAATGCATTTTTCATAGTTGAGTTGTTGATCTATCTGACATTGCTTGTTGTGTATGATATTAAGTCTATTTGTTTTCTTGATGTTCCATTTGGTCAGCAATTTCTGGGCATTTTTATTGGCCACTTGATCTGTGGAAACTCGTCTACTAGGCCATGTGCCACATCTACATTAGCTGTCTCCTGCTCTGTAGTTTGCTTTAACTGGTTTATCTCACCATGTCTCAAGATACCTGTAAGCCTTATTATATGATAAAGCAGGCTCGTTTGCGTCATTTTTTATTTTCAGATTATTTTGAATTACTCTTTTTAATCTTTCATATCAATGTCAAAATTGGCTTTCACTTCATATGCACACTTTTAGAAGGTTGAATAGCATTACCTTGAACTTCTATACATAGTTTGGGGACTTAACATTTCAGGGACAGTGACTCTTCATGCTCATTAGCACTTTATATATTTCAAATTATTTAGATTTCTTTAATAGCTCAATTACATGTTATAATTTTCTACCTAATTTATTGTACACCTGAAAATTTAAGCTGGTGTTTTAATTATTATTTTTCTTTTTAAATCTCTTTCTTATTGGTATTAAACAGAAAGGTATTCAAATTATTATTCATGGCCGTGTCTGGCTAAGCATAATCATAAATACAAAATATTTCAATGTACATTGGATAAGCACAATTATAAGTACAAAATATTTCAGTGTATACTGTTATATTCTTGGCCTATATGTACTTATCGGAAAAGTCTTAATAATGTTAATGAGATATCTAAGGCTTATTTCCTTACTGCTGATAGTAAATGTGTGATTTTATTTCGTTCATTTTTTCCTTTAACATTCTGTCAATCTTACATTGTATGATTTCAATTATTTTTAATTTAATACTGAAATTAGATTCTTGATCTGTAATCAGTATACACAATTGTCCTACTGACCTTTCACAATTGTGATTAATTCTAATTCTAAATTTTAAAATAGTCTTTTAACTGGGTTTTATAGAGTATTTAAAAAATTTAAATTGCCACTTCTACAACATCTGAGTGACACAGCTATTTTTTTCTGTAAGTCTCAATTTCCTCATTTTAAAATAGAAATATCACCAAAAAAAAAAAAAAACTAAATTGAAATACCTAGATGGCATCATTATGATGTTATTGAGTAATATAATTATATTCATAGACTATATAGAATTATTTTATTCTATTTTTAAAAGAAAGAAGTGTTACTAAACTAGTTGGTGAAATAAAGAGGTAGAAGTATATATTTTGCATCACATCAAGGTTGCAAAATGATATTCTGTTACTGAGAGATGCTGTTTTTCACTGAGAATAATTCTGAACATGGAAATGCTCTGAATGTTAAAACTCCTCAGAGATGGTCTGTGTGAGTGATTGGTCAGATGATCCTGACCACGTCATTTTCCCCATTTTACTTCTTCTTCTTTATCAGTAAAATGACACATTTAACTCTGTTGTATGGCAGACTTATTTAAAGTATTTTATTATTCTCACTTAAAGAAAGCATGTCTAAAACTTTTTATTTTCAGATTTACTGAGATTAATAAAATATGTAAATACATGGAAGGTTGGAAAATAGAGAGTAAGACTATAATAGATTTTGCTCATTTTTCAAAATCACAGTTTGCCATTCAAAATATTTCCAGTGTCACCTGACTATAAATTAGTGTTCTGACATATGAAAACATTTTTCACAAGTAAACCTTAGGTTTTCTCAGTGGAGTCATCCCTTCAACATGCAAATGTTCTGCTAAATGAACATTAACACTGAAAATAGTTTAAATACAGAAAAGAATCCAATATGAAATATATTATGTTAATCTGGTCTGGAATTTTCCATACATGTAATATGCACATACATGCAGAGATGTGACCAAAAGGTATTGAAAAAATAAAATTTTAAATTATTGATAACTGCATGCACAAAGTTGAAGT